CCTGTGGGGGCACTGGCTGAGGTTGGTTAGGGAGGCCAACCCATTAACCACATGCCCTCGGGGAGCACATTGGGGACCCCCCTCAGAGAGAGGCCTGAGGCTGGCTGCAGGGGGCTGCACTGCCCCTGGGTCTCCGGGAGAAGAGAGGGCAGAGGCATGGGCACAAGCGAGTAGGCGCACTGGGGATGGGGATAGAGTCGGCCAGACTGGGCCCGGAGAACAGCCTCAGAAGCACCCTCAACGCCAAGGAACCCACTGCCAGGCCTGTACCCCACTTACACTGTCCTGGGGGGTTGCTAGAACCCCTGCACTCTCCACAGGTCTCATGTGGGAGATTAATGATAGGGTCACTGTCCATCAACCCCAACTGCAGCTGGCTCCAAACGTGCCGAACACCCCAACCAGCCTGGACGCCTTGTTCAGATTATTACATTTGTTCCTCTTTCCCCCCCCCATAACTCCTCTCCTCCCAGTTCCCACCCCACCCTCCGCCCTCACTCCCCACCCACTGTCCTCATCCATAGGTGCACGATTTTTGTCCAGTCTCTTCCCGCATCTCCCACACCCCTTTCCTCCCCAAGAATAGTCAGTCCATTCCCTTTCTATGTCCCTGATTCTATTATGATCACCAGATTATTTATTCACTTGATTCTTAGATTCACCTGTTGATAGATGCATATTTGTTGTTCATAATTTGTATCTTTACCTTTTTCTTCCTCTTCCTCTTCTTAAAGGATACCTTTCAGCATTTCATATAATCCTGGTTTGGTGGTGATGAACTCCTTTAGCTTTTCCTTATCTGTGAAGCTCTTTATCTGACCTTCAATTCTGAATGATAGCTTTGCTGGATAAAGTAATCTTGGTTGTAGGTTCTTGGTATTCATCACTTTGAATATTTCTTGCCATTCCCTTCTGGCCTGCAAAGTTTCTGTTGAGAAATCAGCTGACAGTCGTATGGGTATTCCCTTGTAGGTAACTGGGTTTCTTTCTCTTGCTGCCTTTAAGATTCTCTCTTTGTCTTTTGCTCTTGGCATTTTAATGATGATGTGTCTTGGTGTGGTCCTCTTTGGATTCCTTTTGTTTGGGGTTCTCTGCACTTCCTGGACCTGTAAGTCTATTTCTTTCACCAGGTGGGGGAAGTTTTCTGTCATTATTTCTTCAAATAGGTTTTCAATATCTTGCTCTCTCTCATCTTCTGGCACCCCTATAATTCTGATGTTGGTGCGCTTGAAGCTGTCCCAGAGGCTCCTTACACTATCTTCGTATTTTCGGATTCTTTTTTCATTTTGCTTTTCCGGTTGGGTGTTTTTTGCTTCTTCGCTTTTCAAATCTTTGACTTGATTCTTGCGCTCCTCTGGTCTGCTGTTGGGTGTCTGTATAATATTCTTTATTTCAGTCAGTGTATGCTTAATTTCTAGTTGGTCCCTTATCACAACATCGAGGGTCTCATTAGATTTCTTGTAGATCTCATTAAGTTTATCGGCAGTTTCTAGAAAATTATTGAAAGACCTTAAAAGTGCGGTTTTGAGCTCTATATCCTCCATTTCTGTCATGTTTCTTTGTCTCCGCATTTTTTATGCTTTCTTGGTGCACCCCCTTGTGGTCTTTGTGCGCAGTCTTGTTGTAGTTAAGCCTTGATTGTTGTCGGTAATACTGGGGGTGATTTGACCTCCAGGCCAACTGGCTATGAGAATCAGCTGTGTCTGCAGTGGGAGAACTTCTGTGCTGGATCTCTAGGGCGTTGCTAATCTAGCCTTTGCCTAAGGCTATCCCGCAAATGCCTTTGTGCAGGGCTTGGGCGGGTTGGGTCCCAGGTGATCTTAGTATTTTACTTCAGCACTGCACCTCCTATGAGTCTCGGTATGCTATTCTCTTTCCTTCTAGTTGTAGAACTTCCACTCAGCCAGCCTTCCTGTGGTTCTGGATGATGTCTGTTCTGTCTTTTAGTTGTATTTTTGAAGTGGTTGTTCGAGGCAGCAAACTCGGGCATTAACCTATGCTGCCATCTTGGTTTCTCCAAGAAGCCAATCGCAGTTTCTTTTGTGAACAATAGGAGAGTTCAGGCTGTGGGCCACATCCACTCGCTGTGACAGAGGGCGCTCCAGGGCACCGCCAGGGCATGGGGGGGGGGGGGGCAGAGCGGGGGCACCCAGGGCACGGGGCCACCACTTATCTCTGCCGAAGGCGTGAGGAGCGCCGGGTGCTTCAGGCCCACAGCCCCCTCCCTCTGCACCAGGTGTGAGAGCGAACGCTACAAGGGGAGCCTCATACACACGGCCCCCAGACCCCCAGGTGCCGGGTGCGAGCCCATGGGGAGCAGGGCCCAGCCTCCATGCACACGGCTGGGGGCAGAGGGCCAAGAGTGGAGGCACACAGCTGCCTCACTCACACCACCAGGGCGACTGCACCCCTCAGGACCTGGTAATGTCTGGAGACATTTGAGACTGTCGGGACTTGGGGCACTACTGACCCCTATGGGAGCATGGGGTGTGCTCACACCCTGCGTGCACAGGACAGCCCAACATGTCAACGCCAGCCTGGGCAGCCCTGACCAGAGGTAGGGCTGGAGGGGTGGGAGCAGGATGGCGGCCTGGAACAAGTAGCAGGAGTTCGGGGAGCCCTGGGGGAGAGGGTGGTCACCCAGGGGTGCTGCAGAGGGGCCTCCCGGCAGGCCAGAGCGTACACTCCCCCTAGACAAGTGTGCGGGTCGATGCTGCCCGGGTTCACGATGTGCGGCTGGGCAAGAGGGTGGCGGCGGTGGCCCAGGTGGAGCAGGGGGGCCTGTGAGGGCGATGTGGGGGGCGGACAAGCTGACGTGAGCCTGGAGCTCCACGCCGACCCCGCACCGCTGCTGGAAGGCTGAATGCAGCAGCCGGGGCACAGGAAAGCAGGGGGTGCAGCGAGGGCAGGTCAGCAACGCTCACGTTGCCCCGGAGAACGAAGGAGAAGGGAGAAAGCCTCCGTGGCCTGAGCCACACAGGGCTGAGGCCTTGGGAACAGGGTGCTAACGTGGGGGTGGGAGGAGGAGAGAGATGGCTGGGTGCTGGCGGGCGGGTGGCAACACGTGGGCAGACAGCCCAGCGACCATCCTGGGAACCTCTCCAAGAGCCAAGTCCCAGGGAGGCAGACCGTGGCCCTGAGCGGAGAGTTGGGGCCAAGGTCAGAGCCAGCCCGGCGGGCTTCACCTCACTCCGGGTCCCAGACGCCCAGGCCAGAGTCCACAGTCCGGCAAGGCCCAGGGAGAGCCCAGTCCTTACCTCCCCCAGCGCTGAGGGCTCTGGCCGCACCCCTGCTCCTCAAGGCCAGCACTCCACTGCCCCTCTGTCTCCACTCACCGGGTACACCTGACTGCAGGTAGGACCACCCCAAAGTCCAGGACTCTCCCATCGCAAGAACCATCACTCAGTCACACCCACAGAGCCACCCACCTATCTGCTCACAGCAACCGTCACAGGTTCCCAGGGTGAGGCTGGACAGCTGGGGGGCTTTGGTCAGCGTGCCATACCCGCCTCCCCTCCCCACCTGCTGCCACAGAGCCGAAGAGTGAGGTGGGGGGGGGGGGCGTGTGGGCAGAGGGAGCACAGGGAGCAGAGGGAGGAGGCCTGGGGCTCCGTGGGGCCTGGGGCACCACAGGCACTGCCCACTGGTGACAGCTCCTGTCGGGGAGCCCAGCAGGTCAGGGCCAGGGCAGGCCAGTGGGGGAGGTGCCTCCCAGGAGGCCTCTGTCCCTCCCCTCAATTCCCCTCCCCCTGAGGCAGCGACCCTCAGGCAGGCCCAGCGTGTTCAGGACAGAGGAACAGGGCATTCCCAAGGCCGCCTCTTCAAGGTGAGCAGCCTCGCCCCACCCCGGTGTCCCCGAAGGATAAAGGACTAATTCAGATGAGGGACATGTCCTGCTCTAGCCCTGGGGCCGGGTGGTCATCTGAAATGAAAACTGTCGGGAACAGGGTGTTGCTAACACTGAGCTACACGCAAGGGAGACACAGCTGCTTGGGCTCTGCGCCAGCAAACCTAGCACCCAGCCCCGGGCCCCCACAGCACTGGGACCCCACAGCCCAGGAACCCCACAGCCCAGGAACCCCACACACAGCCCAGGAACCCCACAGCCCAGGAAGCCCACACACAGCCCAAGAACCCCACAGCCCAGGAACCCCACAGCCCAGGAACCCCACACGCAGCCCAGGAACCCCACAGCCCAGGAACCCCACACACACCCCAGGAACCCCACAGCCCAGGAACCCCACAGCCCAGGAACCCACAGCCCAGGGACCCCACAGCCGAGGAACCCGCAGCCCTGGGACCCCACAGCCCAGGAACCCCACACACAGCCCAGGAACCCACAGCTCAGGATCCCCACACACAGCCCAGGAACCCCACAGCCCCGGGACCCCAGCGTAGCTTCCAGCCCCAAACGTTGCCCTTTTCCATCTCTCTGGGGATGGTGCCCTAGGAGAGCCTGACCACAAGCTCCAAACGCTGCCCCTTGGTCCAGGGAAAGGCTATGGCAGAGGGCCTCCCTCCAAGGCCGGGGCCACCTCCCCTGCCACTGCCCAGCCCTCTCCCACCCTCCCCGCGTCCCTGCCCCTCAGACGAGTGGCGCCGTCTCTCACCTCACTCCTCAGAGGCTCATTCTTGCTACCCGGCTCCCTAAGCCAGTGGTGTGCGAGCCTCTCTGCAGGAAGCCTCATTTGGGAAGCTAACCCTGTGTGCAGAGCACGTGTGAGATTCGGAGAGGGAAGGAGCCCTAAACCGAGCCGGTCCACTCCACCCCTGGAGGACCTCGTGACGCCACCAGGCACAGTTGGCAGCGCCATGGGCAGCCTGCTGCCCAGCCTTTCCCAGCAGCCGCCCGGGGCCATCTGGCAATGCCAAGGCATGGTGGGATGCCCAAGGTGAGGGGCTTCCCTGGTCCGTGTCCCCTAACTGGATGCCACCTCAACAGGAAGCAGGAAGACTGATTCCCACGGGCCCAGACCTAGGGCCGGCAGAGCAGCGCTTACCACATTCCAGAAGAGTGGGTTGAAAACGATGGCGAGGACGGCGGCCACAAAGCAGGGCTCCGAGGGGTCCACGTAGCCCAGCAGGCGGGTCATCACGCAGAGGTCTGCCTGCAGGGACAGAGCCGGCGTCAGCTGAGGCCCCCCGCCCGCCACCCGCCCGCCCACACGGGAGAAGTCACCCTCTGGGGGCACACTGGGCGTCTCGGCACATGGAGTCCTGCAGAGGCTGCTACAGCGCGAGCTCATAAACTGGAGATAAAGAGCCGAAATGCAATCAGCTGTGCCGGACTCGGGCTCTGGCGAGCCACAGGGGAGTGTGCAGGGTGCTGGGCCGGGAGGGGAGGGACCCGCTGGGGCTGGGGCTGGGGCTGGGGCTGGGGCTGGGCCTGCAGAGCACCGGAGGGGCTGAGGGCCGCAGTGGAAAGAGACAGACGCAGCGCCTCGCCGCAGTCAGGTAGACGCACACTCCACAACCCGGTGGGCCTCTTCTCAACAGACTGAGCGACAGTCCTGAGTGTCGATGAGGCTGTGAGCTGAACAGGTGGGCTCCCACGCGACTCTAGAGAAACTCACACGTGCGAGCCCAGTGCGTGAGCAAAGATCTTCCCGTCCGCACACTTGCAATGAAAATGTGTCCATCTACTGACGAATGGATAAATAAAATGTGGCCCATTCCTCACACAGCTCAGCTACAGAATTTAGCAGAAACTAGATAGACACGTGTATCAACATGTGATATTCTGAAAAGCACGCCACTGACCACGGCGAGCTGCAGATTCCAGAGCAAACGCACCACCTTCAGAACACGGCAGCCAACCCACCAAGCTCCTGCGCTGCCCAGGGCCTGGCATGCCGCGGAGCCCGGCGGCCAAGGAGCCCAGGTGGTGGCCTCTGCAGCGGGCAGCTCGGCCTCCACACGCCCTGCCGCTCGGTCACTCGGGGAGGGCCATCCCTGACAGCGGGTGTCAGCAGCACCCCTGGCCTCCACCCCTAAATGCCGGTAGCTCTCCCCAGTTGTGACAACCAAAAATGCCTCCAGACCTGCCCAAATGTCGCCCAGGGACAGAACTGCCCACGGCTGAGATCCCCGTCTCTAGGCACAAGCTGGACACTTTCAACATGGATTTTTAAAAAATTTTTAAAATATTTTTTATTGATTTAAGAGAGGAAGGAAGAGGGAGAGGAAGCGACAGAAACACCAATGATGCAAGAGAATCACTGATCAGCTGCCTCCTGCACTGCCCCTACTGGGGACTGAGTCTGCAACCTGGGCATGTGCCCTGACCAGGATTGAATTGTGATTTCCAGTTCATGGGTCAAACGAAGCTCAACCTCTGAGCCATACCCATCGGGCAACATTGATTTCTTTCTATAAAAGATGAGACAGCCTAACCGGTTTGGCTCAGTGGATAAAGCGTCGGCCTGCGGAATGAAGGGTCCTAGGTTCAATTCCGGTCAAGGGCACATGCCAAGGTTCCAGGCTCAATCCCCAGTGGGGGGCATGCAGGAGGCAGCTGATCAATAATTCTCTCTCATCATTGATGTGTCTATCTCTCTCTCCCTCTCCCTTCCTCTCTGAACTCAATAAAAATATATTTAAAAAAAAAAAAAAGATGAGACACAGCCAACATTCCGAGTGGCGAGTACTCACCGAGTCCCCGCCTCACTCTCTTTCTCATTTTAGAAGGGGCCTTAGAGGCCCAGAGCACTGCACAGGTTCTGACTCACCACATGCATTTCAAAATAAAAGTAAGTCTAAACTGTAAAGTAAGTCAAAGTCCATCAGAGTTCTGCTCTTTCCCATAAAGTCTGTTTTCATGGTGTTTTTTGGTTTGGTTTTGTTGCTTTGAGGATATAGAACATTCATATATATATATATTATTGATTTTTTACAGAGAGGAAGGAAGAGGGATAGAGAGTTAGAAACATCGATGAGAGAGAAACATCGATCAGCTGCCTCCTGCACATCTCCCACTGGGGATGTGCCCGCAACCCAGGTACATGCCCTTGACTGGAATGGAACCTGGGACCTTTCAGTCCGCAGGCGGACACTCTATCCACTGAGCCATATCGGTTAGGGCTAGAACATTCTTTTAAGTATTTGTCTCCCGCGTCTGGGGGCCAGGGAGCAGAGGCTGCCCCTGTTTTGTTTTCTTAATCCTCAGCCCAGGACTGCTTACTGCTTCTAGAGAGAGGGGAAGGGAGACAGAGAGACCTGGGTCTGAGAGTGAAGCATCGACCAGTGCCTTCCCCTACACGCCCCCAGCGGGGGTCGAACCCATAACCTAGGTATATGCCTGAGAGGAATTGAACCTGCAGCCCTGCGTGTGGGCCTGCGGGGAGCCGGGCTGAGGGTCCAAAGCAGCACCGCCCCGGCCAGCCCGGTGTGCTCAGCTCTGTGCGCCCAGCCGAGGAGAGGCTCGAGGGCCAGGCAGATGGTCCTGCCGGCTGGGAGCCTGCAGATGGTGGCGGAGGCTCCAGGCCAGCCAGCAGCCCAGCCCTGGGGACGGAAGCGGAAGGAGGGAGCTGGGCCAATAGGGCAGGGGTCCCAGAGGGCATAGGGACACCCTGGGCGATGGAGCCGGTGGTGGGAGTCACAGGCCGCCTCACCGATGGGAACAATACACCACTTGGGAAAGGAACGCAGCACTGGGAACTGGGAATGGGTCACTATTTTGCTGCCAGGGCCACTGGGGTAAAATGTCCTCTCAAATGCTTGAGAAAGTTCTAAGAATTCAGTCCGTTTTGCTCACCAGACTGGGGGCGGGGGGAGGGGGGGGCGAGACAAACAGCCCGAGGCACCGGCTGGGCCCTGGGAACCTCACAGGCCAGTCCCCAGGTCCGTGAGCTCGCAGCTCAAGTCCCAGGTCCACAGCCCTCGGCACGGGCAGCCCTCACGCAGAGGCACCTTTGTGCCCCGCTCTGCAGGCAAGGAAGCCAGAGGCCTGAGAAGCCCGACAGAGCGGAGCGGAGAGCCTGCCTTCGCCGGCCCAGGCCCTGCCGACCCGGCTGCCATGTGGGCGGGCGCTGCAGGGGGCAGGGGTCAAGGCCCAAGCGGCCAGGTCTAGAAGGAAGAAGCAGCTTCTTTCATCTTCTGTGGAGCAGGGAGGAGGGCAGCTGAGGCACTGAGAGGCTCACCCAGCTCTGGCTGCAGCGGCAGCAACGGGCAGCCAGGACTCCCAGTTAGGGGTGGACTGGTCAAAGCGGACACCTCGACCCACTCTGGGTCCCAGTGCCTGGGTCAGCCGGTCTCGGCGGGAGGAACGTGTCAGGCCCCGGCACCTTGGAGAGGTGTTGCCTGGAGAAAGGGCCTGCTCAGCAGGAAGGAATGAACAGCGGCTCCCAGTGGCCTTCCCGGCTGCAGAGGGGCGCCCTGGGGGGCCCCCACTCCAGACAAACCCACTGAGAGGGCACACCTCCCTCCTCTGACTGGACAGACAGAAAAGAACCAAAAACAGGGTCAGACGTGAGCAGAGTACAAGTCCCTCAGCTACCCCTGCACCCCCGTCAGCTGCCTTGACTAAGGGAAGTGCCCCCTCCCCCCTCCCCCCTCCTCCCCAGCCTTATCACAGCTGCAGAAGCCCTGGCCTTCTGAGCAGGGACCCCCTGCAGTCACGGGCTGCAGAGCTCACGATGGTGCATGCAGGAGCGCTACCTACCGCAGCCAGACGTTCCCTGGGCCAGCACAGGCTCGGCTCCTGCAACCCCCAGGTCTGGCTAGGAAGGGCCCTGGCCAGTGGCTCTGCGGAGGGGCTGAGAACACTGCAGGGAACGGCCTGCCACAGGCCACGGCAGGGTCACACTGTGACATCCAAACAAACAGCGGGGCCCAGAGAGTCAGTCACATCGATCACAGTGAGACCACAGCAGGGCGGGCGGCACGGGGTGGGCGGGGGCAGGGGTGAGCCCCAGCAGGACCCGCCATCCCTGCAGAATGTATCCCTGGAGCCACAGCCCCTCCTGCCCCTCCCCAGGGAGCCCACATGCCCCCCGGCATGCTCAGTGGATTCGGGCAGCATTTGGTTAGAGGCCCTGTGCCTGGCACAGACTAGGAACAGATGCTTACGCCCTTGCACCTTGCAGAAGTTGTGCACCAACGCATCGCGGCCTCATTTCCTACTCTCTACCCGGCTCAGAGGGTCTCTCTGGTCAGCCCACAGTACGGGCTGGAATCAGGGTGCTTCCCCCCACACACACACACACACAAACACACAAATAAAAAGCAGGGCTCCGAGACCAGTCTCAGCCTGGGGTTCCCTTTGGTGAAGTGGGTGATGAGACTGTCCCCCCAAGTCTGCGCAGAGGGGGAAGGGGTGTGGAAGTACAGGTTCGAGGGCGCTTCTAGGGCCCAGGCGCTCTGCCCCTCCCTCTGTCTGCTTGATGCTAACACAGACCCCTCGCAAGGGGCCCCCTGAGCACACCTGCAACCCCAGCGAAAGCAGGGGTGGGGGGGGAGCCTGGAGGTCAGGCAAGCCCTGGACCCCTCGGAAGGCGGAGCCTGTTGAAATGTCACACTGTGACAGTGGTCAGCTGCGGACACTTTCTGGAAAAACACTACTTTGAAGTGTCCCTAAATCCCACGATAAAAGGAGGCGGCCAGCAGCTGCCGCAGTCCCCTGAGTCTGTAACTCTCCCAGGACAGGGAAGGAGATCTCCTTCTGCATTCAACAGCGGTGTCTAGGGCTATGGGCACAAGGCCCTGATGGCTCCCATGCTCCCCGTCAGCTGGGGAAAAGGGAGCCCTTCCTGGGAGTGGAGTCTGTGGAGGGACCTGTGTTCCCCACAATCCCCATCTCCTGCCCTGGGCTCCCTCTCCCTTCTCCTCCACGTAACTGAACTGCTGACCCCTTGCCTGACAGGCACCAAGGGCCCTGGCCGACGCCACTAGGTCGGTGCTGCTGAGCACATGTATTCAGATACACTATGTGTTAAAGGCAATAATAGCAACAAGCCAGCTGCCCTGGCCAGTGACTGGGTGCCAAGCCCTGCAAAGGGCTTCAGTGAGGCAGGGCAGAGAACGGTCCTGAAACAAGGTTTGCCCCAGACTGGCCAAGCTGGACACTCTTTGTAAGCTTAGGCATGCCTCGTGCCCTCCGTAGACTCTGGCC